TTCACTTAGTGATTCTTAATAGTTTCCCTTGTTCTTTCATCCATTTTGCAAGTGGAAGAGCCCCCAGATGAACACTGTGGTTCTGCAAGCGTCTGTCTCTGTTCCAGGTCTGAAATGCAGGCCTCCCAGAGGCTCTTCTGCATGGTCCAAATAGGTCCTGGGTATTACACTTGAACCTACTTTCCCTCAGCTATGACTCATGTAACTTTGTGCTGGAGTCTGAAGGGTTGAGGTGAATTCCCACGTGACAGTAGCTAATGCTAAAAAATCCTTCAGGGCTGCTGCTTCTATTATGTTTAACCTCTTCTGTATTTTCTTTTACACTTGCTGCCATGCCTTCCACAGCTGGGATTGTACAGGATTATAGGTTTCTTTAGCAAACTTAGGGACAGCAATTCATCTACTACATTATAATAAGCAAGGAAACCCTGAAGGAGCAAGTAAAGAAAAAAAAAAAGAAACAAAACTGATCCTCGTTTACTTCCAGCTTAATTAGGGCCTGAAGGGGAAAGTGTGCTCATGCCCTTTCATGGCTTTGAATGCAACACATACAATGCACTCCATTTAAGTGCATGGCCTGGGGACTGAAGAAGGGCCAGGAACTTGCCGGGCACATGCACTTATCTGAACTTAATGTAAACCTGTTCCTTAAGTGCAGAGGGCTGTCAGTGCAGCCACCAAACTACCAAGTGATCCCCTTCTGTTCTACCATGGGTCCTGATTGCTTTTTCCTCTAGACCAATATATGGCTACAACCTAGATACCAGATCCCTCCTGTTCAAACACTGCACAGCCTGAAAATGACTGCTAGAAGGCTTGAAAGTGAGGGGAACTGGCCAGTTTCAGGTCTGCTAATGGCACAGGCTGACAGCAGTGTCCTGTGCTTTCAGTTACCCTGAATCTGACTAGCTGCCCTTATTTTCAAGGCTTTTTACAGCTGGTTCCCCTTCACTCATTTTGGAGTACAATTAATTACAAAGTGAACAGTGGGGCTAAACAGTGTTATGCATTTAAGTGGTTTACACATTTGATCTAGAGGCAGATAACCAAAGCATGTTGCAAAATAATTAACACGCAACAAACTGGACCTGGCAATGAGTGCTGCAGTTCAGCACGCTACACACCTATCTGGTACACATGCAAGTGGAATACATGGTACTGAGCTTTAGCAAGAAGAAAAGAACCAATCAGTAAATCCAAGAGTTCAGGACTGTGTGCCACGACACACTGGGCACCCACTGAGCACTGCAGGCTCAGCAGCCACGAGAGCCAGGTGGGGGAGCTGTCAGATTTCTGAAGCTGATGCTACAAGTTTTATGCCAGTTTACAAATGCCAACGTCAAAGGGCTGCACCACTACCCAGATCCCGTCTGAAATCAGCACAATGCATTTGTTTAGAGAAGGCAGGAAACAGGTTCCTCTTTATACCTACTACAATACAGCTACAAAGGGAAACACCCAGTTCTTCCAAAAGTTCATGATGATGAGTCACCCTGAAGCAGTTGGGAAGCAAGCAGACAGTCCAGCCCAGTCTCACTGCCAGAAAGGGCAACGAATGTTTGTTTTCCAGTTTGACTTGTTGTGCTTCTGACAAGCTGCTGTGGACTAACCCTAGCTCAGATCCTTGGGCCCCTTCTGTGCTGAAGCAGGATTCATGTTCCAAATGAAAGGGGAAATTTTGTACTTCACCTTCATGTAAAGCAGCAGGCTGTGTGATCATGAAGTGTCACTAGTTCCCCTTCTTTCAGAAGAGGTTTCTAGTCTTCAGGTCTCTTTTTCTTCCTTTTTTAAAGAAAGCTAAGCCCAGTTCATTTCCTGAACTCTAGGGATACCTGAGCTAGTTAATCAACAAACAGCAGTAAAAGCACAGCACCATTTACAAACAATGCAAAAAAGGATTTATTGGAATCATCACGTTTAAGCCAAGTCCTGTACAGCACAATTTGCAATACGTTATAGAACCAGAACAAACAGTCTTAGTGTTAAACACACACCATGATACACACAGTGATTTATGCTACTATCACCCATCTGAGTTATTGAATCAAGGCACAAAGTAAATTATTCATTAAACACTGCAACAAACAGCAACAGGGGAAAAAGCAGTTGGAAAAAAACCCTTGCCTCATTTGGAGGGGGCTGGTTTGGCACTGACAATCTGACTGAGCTGCCAAAGGGGCATTAGGAAGAGCTTTCCAAGAGCTTTGGAAATGTGATAACAGTAATGAAAGGCAAAAGCATCCCTGGTGCTGCAAATCCAGCTCTCCTGCAGAAAGTCAGTGTGCTGGCCTGGCAAGGGCAAACATGTGTAGCACTTTGGGAAGGAAGAGGAAAAGCAGCCAGAAGAAGCTGTTTGCATACAACATATTCTTGATGCCCAGAATACATCCCCAGCACTCATTCAAGGGGCATTTCTGTGAGATGCAGGCAGCACAGTGATCAATATAAATCAAATTAGCATGCAAGCATTGGACTTTCCCTCTGTCCAAATCACAGTGCAACTTGCAGAGGCAAGCATCCAGAATTCCTGCTCAAGCAACCCAGCTGGAGGGTCATTAGGTGCATAAACCTGCCATCTTCACTGTGAACAGGACCAGTCCTGGGGTGTGGTCCACATTTATTGCTGTGCCAAATCACATCACTGTGCCCAAGGAACCCAAGTTCCATTGGGATTCATCTCTTCCCCCTGCTAAGCAAGACAGAGGCTTGGCAAAGAATAATGTGCTGTGCCTCCATCACTAAGAATGCTGGGTGAAAGGGAACTGCAACAGTGAAATAAAGGGAAACCTACCATTTGTAATCCAGGGTGCTTGGAGGTTTCACACAGCAGGGGAAGCAGCTCAGCTCTGGTGGAGAATGGTCTGCTGGGGAGCCTTTTCCAGCCAACAAGAGCAGGAAGTCTGACATTCACACACTCCCTGACCATTCTGCCCCAGAGCGGTGGAGTTCCATTGTGCTGCAGAGGCAGGCTGCTAGCACAGACAGGGCCTCACACCAACATCTTGCCTGTCAGCTGGAAGTGCTCCCATTTGCAACCATGAGCACTGCACTGAGCAAGTAACCACCAGAATCACCACAATCCACCAGAGTGGAAGTAGAGTACAAGTGCATCCGCCTGCCAAAGCTCCTAGCAGGACTCCAAGCAGGAACACAACTGCCAGACCAAACCACTGGCTGCTGCATCAGCAAACACCAGAAAGAGAAAAAGCAATCCATTCAGCCGGAAGAGGAAGAGTTAGTGATCCAATCAGAGAGCGCTGCCCAGCAGCAGCTCGAGACTCAGTGAGTTTGTAATGGATGAGAGGACTGGCACAAGCACCTCTGCAGCCCTGAGCCATCTCCACATTGTAGTGTTTCTACACACAGCTCTTAATGCAAACCAAAGAGAGCCAAGTATTTATTGAGAGCCTCCACTTACATGACCACACACAGGCCAGGGGTGCACAGCTATGGGCACATAGCTATGCACAGTTGCACCCGCCTCCTGCATGGGAATCAGAGCAGCCAGAGGACTTGGGTACAGTTCCATCACTGCACAGCATCCCACTTTGAAACCAAAACCCTCCCAGAGCTGTCAGCAGGGCACTACTGCTCCCAGCAGCTTCTCCCCACACATTCCCATTCTCCTTTTGATTTCTGTTGTTCACTCACTGCTTTACTCCTGCCCCACCGGGGACTCAGCAGCACATGCATGGTCTCCCCAACTGTACCATCTCCCCTTCACACAGCAGCTCCATACTCAAACCAAGACAGCAAATACTCATACCTACCACCAAGAGGGCAGGGCATCTACTAAGAAAAGCACCCACATATCCATACCCATGAACTGATTTTATGGTAAAGGGGCAGAGTCATCCCATGATTAGAGCAGGTGACAAGGACTCGGAGTGCTCTTAAGCTTTTCTGCAGCTTTGCTACAAAATAGAAGGACCTTGCCACATTTTCTAGGGTCTCCCATCATCTTGACCAGGGAACAGTGCTCAGAGGACTTCCCATTCAGAGGGAGTAAGACTGAATTCTTGAGTGTAAAGTGATTGGAGTTCCTCTGACAAGCAGCACACTGTGGAGAAACAGCTACCCTTTCTCTGTGGAACACAAAAGCGTAGTTCTACTCTGAAGAGCAGCTACAAACAGGTCCCAAGCAAGTTCTGTTCTGCACATTTGAGCAGTTTCTCAGTGTTCCTGGGGATCAACAAGCCAGGATTGGTCCATTCTGGCTCCTATATCATCTATAGCTGGGACTTGGCTAACAATTCTACCCTTGTTGCATCGACTGGAACAGAGCTGAGCTCCCTTTCCTAGAGCTGTGCCAGTGTTGCATGGTTAAAAGGGGTGGAAAACAGCATACTCCTATTTTAGTCAGCAGCAGATCTAAGTTAACGGTGTGAAAACCAGTCTGGGAAGCAAGAGGCCTGACTTTTATATAAAAAAAAAAAAGAAACAAAACACATTTTCTGTGCAGAACTACATTTTAGCCTGTGGCTCTCCTGGTCCAGATACATCAAGCACTGCATTGCCTCTCAGAGGTCTGTCATTATCTACGTCTCACTGCTCTACTGCTGCTGAAGCCAGATATTCAGGTTTTTCAATGGAGAACAAGGGTAAGCAACCTCTGGCCAGTCAGCTGCTTTTAAAGGATGAAATTCCTACCTAAGGAGAATCAAGACATATATATGGCCAAATAGAAAGGAAAATTCAAGACCATGCAAGCAACCCCGCTCCTCCACCCCACACTGTCTCCCCTTGTCTCTCTCACTCTCATGGACATGTTCTCTCCTCAATGCAAACAACAAAGTATCACCAACTCAGGTCTCCCCAGCAAACAGCTGTGCCTTCCTGTGGGTTACGGCTGGGAGGTACCAGGAAGTTAGGCCTAGCTGAGGTATGCTCGGCAGTGTAGTAGGT